CTGCGTGTAACCAACACCCATGGCCGTCACTTCCATGGGCTGATCTTCCCTGACGTGAGTCATGTGTCCCTCTGCTTTGCACGCCGGGTGCCAGACATTGTGAAAGTCATCTCGTTAGTAACACTTCCCGTTCCTGAGGCCGGGCCTCCTCTCCCGGCACTGTGACCCCGCAGTGTCCTCCGCTCTGACTCAGGGGTTCTTTTCCTGGCCTCGGGCTGTTTCCTCACATGCACCAGTTTCCTGAGTACTCCAGGGGGGTCCTTGCAAACTCCTGGGGCTTCCCCCCCACGTGAATTCTGGGGTGCGGGACCTCCTGTCCCCTTGGTTCCCCCAAACTCTCTGCTCTACTTCTTGACTCGGTCCCCTCTCCCCGCGCGGGGCAGACGGAGGTCCCCCGGGGCAGACGGCCGGGTTTGGCGGGGCCTAGCCCATCTGCGTCCCTTCTCTCGGGGGCCACCTCCTTTGCTGTGCCGCGCCGGGCTCTGGGAAAGCATCTTTCACACAATGTGTCCGTGGGAAGGCGAGTCTGCTCGCTTCTCCGACGCGCCGAGGCCAGGAGTCCTCCCCGCCCCATGTGTTCGACTGTGCGGGGGAAGTGCGGTCGCTCTGTCTCTCTGGAAGCAAACAATGCCGGGCGAACAGTCTCCATTCACTTCGTTTTTCCCACCTTCCCGCCTACAATGGTGCCTGGCACACAGTAGGTGCTCCATACCTGATTGTCGCGCTGTGCGCGATGCCTGAGACCAGAGGCTGTTTCTGAGTCAGCCCCTGCCTTCCCTCTGGGTACCAGCGTGCAGTGGGCACCCCTGGGGGAGGGCCCTGCCCGCAGGGAAGGCACCGCCTGCCAGGAGAGGCAGTTCGGCGCCAAGGGTCCTCTGGCAGAAGCGGGGTCTCCCTCTCAGGTCAGCGTGGGGTCCGCCAGCGAAGTCGCCGAGGTCCCGTGTGTCGTGAGCCAGGGGCAGGGCACCTGAAGACCCAGACCAAACCCCGTCCGTGTCGAGTTGGGGGCTCCACAGAGACTCCAGCTCTGAGCGGAGGAGCAGGCCTCAGCCGCAGGGGCGGGCGGAGAGCAGAAGGGAGGAACGCACACGCTGCGGCCGAGGCCCCGGCGAGGGGCTCGCGGGCCCGGGCGCCCCGCCGTGAGCGCGTCAGCGTGCTCTGAATCCTGGCGACGCCGAGTGCGGCAGCCCCCGGGAACAGCACGTGTGCGGACGTCCTGCTTTGTTTCGTCTGCAGTGGGAGAGGCTGAGGCGCACAGACCTCTCTGCAGGGCTGGGCGGCTCCCACACGCACACGCCGTCGTGGGACCGCCGCCCAGATCAGGACCGGGGCTCCTCCAGCGCCAGGGGGCCGGCCCCTGCGCCTCACAGACGGCCCCTCCCCCCAGCGCCCCCCCCGGGTGGGGCAACCGCGGCTGAGGCCAGGAGGAGACGTTCCGCCTTTGAAACTCCCGTCGATAAAATCGTAGGGAGTTCCCTTTGTGTCTGGCTCCCGTCCTCCTGCTCCCTCTGTGTTGTCTCCGCTCTCTCCGCTCCCTTTGTTTCTCCGCGGGTGGTCAGACCCGCCCGCGGCGCTGTGAGTGGGGCTCGGCGTCGGAGCGGGTCAGTGCTCGCGTCCGCCTCCCGCCCGTGGTGAGGTCAAGGACAGGGAGGACTTCCGTCTTCTCCCTGCCGCGTCCTCTGCGCCTGGACCCCGGCACACGGCACTCGGCAGGCCCTTCCCGTGTGGGCGCGTGAACAGGGAGGGCCGGTGGGTGGTGGGCCAGTGGGTGGAAGGGCGGAGGGATGGCAGTGGACGGGGCTGGACGGGGGGGGGGGGGGGGGTATGCAGATGGACGGACGATTGGAGAGGGAGGGAGGAGGGCCGTGACCCGGACCTCGAGCGTCTCAGGTGCTCCTCCGAGGGCGGCGGCCCCTCCCCCGACAGGCAGCGGCTGCCGAGCTGCAGTGAGCCTGACCGGCGCGCCCCCGGCTGGGCCTCTCCTAGAAGGATCTTCCGTAGCCGTTCGCCCCGCACGCGTCGGGACCATCCCACGGCGGCGGCTCTGAACCACCCCTCTGAGCCACGGTCCTCATACAAACGTGGGACTTTCTGCAGGGAAATGAGGGAGGTGCTGGGCACAGCGTCGGCCTTGAGTTTGGTGCCACGGCCTGACCGGTGGGTTCCAGCCACTGCGTGGACCAACGCACACGTTTCAGGGGAAGTCGGTGGGACCGGCTTCCAGGCGCAGGCCGGGGCTCCCCCTGGGGCGGGCTCGGCTGCCCACACAGGGTCGGTGCGCCTCTCTGCGAGTGCCGACCGCACTCCGACAGGAAAGTCACAGAGCTTACAGAGCCGGCGTCTGCCCAGACGGGCCGGAGGCACTTCTGTCCGGGACCCTCCTGGAGTGGCCATGGCTCCCACCCCGTCGTGGGCACATTTCCGGGCGCCACCCCGAGACTGTGACCTAGCGGCACCTACTGGGGGCTCCCGGGGGACGGGGGGTCGGCAGCGGCGCTCAGAGAAGGCGGTGGGCCTGGGGGACGGGGCCCTGAGGCCTGAGATGTAGCAGGAGCTTCGGGACCCGTGTCCCTCCTCTCCTCGCACTTTGGCCTTTGGCCTGAGCCCCTGGGCTCTGGAGGGGCCGCACCTCTGTGGGGCCGTGCCCGCCCTCCCCGGAGCACCTGTGCTCCCACCTGTGCCTGTCCCTCCGTGACGCAGAGCCCGGAATTCTTTGAAGCCCCAGCGCCCCCCTCGCTCAGGGTCTGGACCCGAGGTGGGGCAAGAACCAGCTGTCTGAGTCTCTGGGACCCAGCAGGAGGGGGCAGAGGGGTGGACGGCCAGCTGGTGTTTTGAAAAGGTGCAGGCCGGCGGCCCCCGAGGGGGGCAGGGCACAGGCCCGCAGCCAAGCCTCCCCCCGCCCCGAGCCCCGCGGGCTACGGGCCTCTCTCCCACACTCACCCTCCCAGGTCCGGACCACCCTGGTGCCCACCAGACCTGCCTGCCCGACAGCTGCCGGGGTGGGGCGAGGGGCTTTCGGAGGACTGGCCCTGGGCCCGACCCCTCCCCCCAGAAGAGCCCTCAGCACCCCCGCCAGCCCACCCCCTGTCAGGGCTACAACATCTTCCCCAGCAGGCCCCTCAGAGAGCGCAGGCAGCAAAGCACCGCTTGGGATATCAAGGTTTTCTGAAGATCAAAACAGGAAAAATGAAAAGAAAGGTATTTTGGAAACATCTAATGGGCCAACTAATTAAGTGTCTGATTGCTAACAAGCCCCCTCGCCCAAGAAGGGGGAGCCTGCCCTCCGTGGGAGGCGGACAGACGGCCCCTCAGCAGACAGACGGACTGGAACACGCCACGAGGAGCGACCCTGCCTCGCACGGGGGCCGCGAGCAGAGCGACGGGGGCCGCAGAGCCCCCGGGAGAGAGCGTTTGCAGACCGCACGGCGGACGGCGGGCCCCTGTGGCGAGCGGCCTCCCTCGGCCCGGCGACGGAAACCACGCAGCCTGTCAGGAAACAGGCCGAGGCTTCGCGCGTCCAATCCAGCGGGGCTGGGTAAATCAGGCGAGGGAGGGTCAGGTGTGACCCCGTCATTTTAAGGGGAGACCAGGCCCGGGAGGGCGAGGGGGCGACGCCCAGGAGAGCCGGCACCAGGGGAAGCACCCCAGGCCCTGGAAAGGGCCGTGTGTGGGCATGAGGGAGGGGCGCAGCCCCCTGGTCTGGTGCTCCAGGACCCTGTGACCCCAGGAGCGGCTGGAGGCTGGGCGGCACCTCGGGCCTCCCTCCTCCCTGCCTGGATCCGGTCCACCTGGGCGCTGGGGCGGGGGCGCCGGGCCCCCAGAGACTAATGCGTGTGCTTGCACCGACCCAGGCTCAAAGGAGGCCCAGCCCCGGGAGGTGGTCCGGGGGAGGCCAGTCGTGCTCACCTGGAGACGCCGCTGCCGGAGACCCCGCTAACCCCCTGCGGGCAATTGGGGGCCCCGATCGGGTGTCGGAGCACTCAGGAGGCTTTCCTAGGGCCCGGCCTGCTCTCCGGACCTTTGAAGGCCCGACCAAGGTGCTTTCAGAGCTGCCCCCTCGGCTAAGTGCAGAGAAAGGGGAGAAGGCGCCGCCACCCTCCCCGCCACCCACCCCAGCGATTATCGAGGATTAGCCTCGCTGCCCAGCTGGCTCCTCGCAGGCCCTGACCCTGTGCGCGGCCTCGCCCGCCCAGGGAGGCCCGCCCTCCAGGCCCTCCAGGGCCCCTGTCCCCGAGTACCCCCACCCCCACCCCCAGCAAGCCAGTCCCCCCGCTCCCCCGGAGCTGGGGTGCGAGCCGCACACAGCCCCTGGCGTCAGACGAGACGCAGAGGGTGTCCCTTCCCACGGGGCCTGCTCCCAGGCTTGGCGGAGCCTGGTCTGCGGCCCCCGTCTGTCTGCAGGGAGAGCCAGCCCCGCCCCAGGAGGGTCGAGGGCGGGGGAGCTGTGGGTGCCTCCACCACAGCCCCCACCCCCTGCCCCCCAGGAGCCCAGATGCCTCCTCGTATTTCTAGAGCCTGTGGAGGCCTCCAGGGCCGGCATTTCTGGCAGGATGCTCTGGTGCAGGTGAGGCGAAACGCACCCACAGGCCCAAGGGCCAGGCTCGGCTCGGTCCACGTTGCTCCAAGCCCTCGGCCCACTCCAGTGCCTAAGCCCACCCTGCTCAGCCGGGGAAAGGAAGGGGCAGGACAGGGGCCGGGCCCCAGACAGACAGACAGACAGACAGCAGCAGGGGACCCACCTGTGCAGAGGCCAGAGCCTCCCCGGAGACCCCAGGCCCTCGGAGCTCCCACGGGACAGCCCTGGGCACCGAGCGCTGTCAGCCCCGCTTCTGGGTGCCAGGACGGGGGTGGGGGTCACCTTATGACCCTGAGCCTGCTGTGTGTGTGAGTGCGTGTCCCTGTGTGCCCTGCATGTGTGTGTGCCGGGCAGCAGGGGCGACCTTTGTCCTCCGTCCGCCTGCCTGTCAGCCCCTCAGCTGGCTGTGCCCGCAGCCCGGCCTCAGGAAGTGGGAAAACAGCCTGAGCTCCCGGGTGTCGGCCAGGGCGCCCGGCGGGACTGCTGGGGCTGCCCACTTGAGAGCCCCTGCAGCGTCAGCTCTGCAGGGCCCAGGGGCACCGTCTGGGCGGCGGTGGGTCGAGGTGACGCCAGGGGAACGAAGACCCAGGGATTTTAAAGGGCTTTTCCCGGGGATCTAAGCTTCTGCAGGATCCGATCTCCCCCAGGCCCGTAGCATTCGACCCGGGCTGGGCCGGTCATCGACCCCCCTTTTCTGGACCAGCTGGGCACCAGCAGGGAGGTACTTAAACCTCCGTGGGACACACACCAGGCCTGACCGGCTGTGTTCCCCAAAACCACACGCCAAAGCCTGACCCCAGGCGCCAGGTCAGGAGGCGAGCAGGCTGGGAGGGGGAGCCTCAGGGAGCCCACTGTCCACTCTCGGCCCCGGGAAGACACGCCCAGGCCGTCCATGCCACCAGCACCCACTGAGCGCCGACTGGGCGCCAGCGGCTGTGCCAGGCGCCGGAGCACTGAGGGCCACGCTCCTCGCCTCCAGGCAGGGCCCCCAGCCCGTGCCCTGGCTGCGAGGGGCGAGGAGCGGCTGGGGGAGAGCCAGAGGGTCTGGGCGGAGCGCAGGGTGCGAGTCCCAGCCTGGGTGGTCCCCACCCGTGACTGTGGGCAGTCGCTCGCACTCTCGCTTTTCCCATCTGTGCAGTGGGGGAGCTGGTCACGGCAGCCTCGCCGGCGCCGGGAGAGGGCCGGCGGGAAGACGGGAGCCTCAGCGACGCCGGCAGAGTCCCTCCCTCCGGGTCCTGGGCCTCGCGCCCCCATCCCACCCTCAGTCCTCGGGCTGAGGGGGGGGGGCAGGGGCCCGCCCCTCCCAGAAGTGCCGGGAGAACAGAGAAGGGACCTGGCAGGAAAGAAGCTGACCCAGCGGTTTCCATGACAACAGCGGTGCAAAGCCCTGTCCACGCTCTATGACCACAGGGGCCAAAGTGCAGTCCGGGCCACACAGGCACCGTGGCTGTGAGTCCAGAGGTTGGGGGGAGGTGGGCAGAAGTCCTGAGGGAACCCGTGCCCCCTGGAATGAGGGGCCCCGTGCTGAGGTGCCGCGTTTCCTGGGTGCCGGCTCCAAGCACAGCTCCCTCTCCCGTCACCTGCCCCCTTCCCCAGGTGAGAAAACCAAGCGCAGAGAGGTCACCCACTCACCGAGGTCACACGGCAGTGTGCAGTGACGGCAGCCTGCTGGGTCCACGGGGCTGTCGAGGCGGCCAGAGCTGCAAGCGGATGGACCAGGACTCCGTGGCGGGAACCGGCTGACCACTGGGGCAGCCGACACCCAGGACAGAACTGGGGGTCCCAGGAAGTCACCAGCCAGCTCCTCGGAGTGGAACTGTGTCCCCCAAAAGGGATCTGTTGGCATCCTCGCCCCTGTTCCTCAGCACGTGACCTTGTTTGGAGGTAGTGTCTTTGCAGAGGTCCTCAGAGTGAGAGGAGGTCCCTGGGTGGACCCTGGTCCAGGCAACGGACACACCGCCCTCCCACAGGGACGCCGCGTGAAGCTGGGCGTGCAGACACCGCCGAGAGCTGAGAGGCCGGCGCTGCCCCCGGGTCTTTGGGTCCGGCCTCAGCACTGCGAGATGCGAGTGTCTGTGAGCCAGTCGCGTCTCAGCCCCGGGAGGCTCTGGGCTGCTGTCTGGATGCTCGGCAGGTACACACCTGAGCTCTCACCTGGGAAGGGAGCGGGCAAGGAGGTCCGAGGGGGCTTCAACCCTGCAGAGCTGCGGTGACGGCCAGACTGGGCCCGTGGGTGTCAGCAGGGACCCACCAGGCACCCACCAGACCTCCAGGGCCTCTGCCGGGAGCGCAGAGCGGAGCAGGTACCGTCTCGTGTCAGCCTGGTGGACACGGCTCCCAGCCCCGGGCTCACCCAGGCCCCTGGCAGCACCCAGGCCTCACCGGCAGGCCTATCCTGGGGGCTGCTGGGCAGATGAGGGGCAGTGCTCACAGGCCGACTCAGCGCAGCCCGAGTGGGGGCCGGCGGGGCTCCCGGCCAGGTCTTCGGGCACCGAGTCCGACGCCCTCCCCTATGACGTCGTTTCCAGCAGCTCAGGGCTCCGACCAGGACAGCACCTCCGCAAGCAGGTGAGGCGGGGAGGCGGGCCGCGGCCTTGCCAGCGGAGGTCTGGGCTCGGTGCCTCTGCTCAGCCTCCCCGCTGGGGCCTCCCCACCCCCACGCCTGGGCCGCCGTTCTCCCCGAGTTCAGTGGGGCAGATGCGATCGGTGTCCTCGTGGACCCCACCACCCACCTTCCTGAGTGAGGGGCTCGGTGATGCGCCCCCAGCCCCTGAGCGCTCCGGGACGGGGAGGTGGCGCGGCGGGAGGCACCTGCTCAGGCCCCATCGTGCGGACGGGACCCAAGAGACAGGCCGACCTTTGCAGGAAGAGGGTGACTGAGTCCAGCCTGTCACCGTCCACGGGCCGCGAGCTGGGGAGAGTGGACGCCACGTTGGCACTGTCCCGGGCCCCGCAAGGCCGGCACCAGGCCCGCAAACGTCAGCAGTGAGTGCTGTGGCGGGAGACGGCGGCTCCTGGGGCCCAGAGCCCGGCAGGCAGGGCAGTCTGGTCCCCGTGCGTCCGCTGCGACCGCGGCCTCGTTGCCGGCCGCGTGCCGTCCTGCTTCTTGTTTCCTGCTCTGCGGGAGCCCCCTTCCTGCTCCCGGGCTGCGCGTCACGCACTTGGCAGTGGTGGCTCCCCAGGCGGGTCCGGGGCCCCGGCGTCCCGTGGGGAGTGGCCGTCGGGGGCCGCCTGCCTCTGAGTCCGTGCGTGCGGGGCGCCCGGCACGGTCTCCTCGGGGCCACGTGCAGGATTAAACGCAGACGCAGACATGAGAGCCAGCTGCGCTCTCTTACAGCCCAAACACGGAGGAAGCTTGCGAACACGTAAAACAAGGCTATTCTCACGATATTTTTGAGGCTATCGTTATTTTTTTCTTCTTTTTTAGAGATTTTATTTTATTTTTAGAGAGAGGGGAAGGGAGGCAGAACGAGAGGGAGAGAAAGGCTAAATGGTTGCCTCTCACACGCCCCCAACTGGGGACCTGGCCTGCAGCTCAGGCCTGCGCCCCGGCCAGGGATGGAACTGGCGACCTTTCAGTCTGTCCGCTGAGCCACCCCAGCCAGGGCCGGTCCCTTTTCTTTAAAGCCCGGGTTTCCAGCCCGAGGCGGGCGGGCCTCGTGTGGCCCAGGATGGCTATGGATGCAGCCCAACACAAAATCGTAAATTTGGGTAAAACGGTTTTTTTTTGCTCATCTGTTTTCGTTAGTGTCTACGTATTTAATGTGAGGCCCAAGACAGCTCTGCCCTTCCAGTGTGGCCTGGAGACTCCGGAAGGCCGGCCCCCCACTCTGAAGTGCCGCGTGTGGGGGCACGTGCCGGGTGTGCTGTTGCTGGGGCTGCCCTGCTGAGGGCTGGGCACCCGCGTCTCACACCCGTCTCCGGGGCGGGGGGGGCAGTCCCAGCTCTGCCCCCGGCTCTGGGGCGGCTGTGGCCCTGGGCTGCGGGCCTCTCTGCCCCTCGGCCGCCCGCGCTCTTGGCAGGGAGGCCTCGCTGGTGTCTCCTGCCCGCCCGCCCGCCCGCGGCCCCGGGAGGTTGAGGGGTCACCCACCCCAGCAGCTTGGAGAGCAGGGTGTTTTTCTGGAATCCCATCCCAACTGGCCCGAGGCAACGCCGGTTTGTCCAGGGAACCCTTGGCTCCAGCCACCTGGAGCTTTGCCCCTCTGCAGAGCCGAGTCCAGGCCCGAGGGGCAGCCAGGAGTGAGCAGGCGGGAGCTCCACCAGGCTCGGGGCCGGGCCCCGCTTCTCTGGGGAGTAAGTGCACCTCCCTCGGACGGGGCCCCTGCGCGGGGTGGCGTGTGGTGGGAGGGACCCACCGGGTCCCTGTCCCCTTCCCCTGCGGCCAGGTCCAGCCCCCAGGTGTCTGGTCACAGGAACCGCCTCTCCTCCCCTCCAAGCGGGGGCGTCCGCCAGCCCAGCAGGGAGACCCCGACTGCCCTCGGAACCCGGCCGTCCACCGGCACCCCTGGGACCAGGCTGTGCAGCTCTGGGGACCATCAGTACTCTGCTAGAAGAGGGGTGGGGGTCCCCGGGAAAAGACCCCAAATCCAGCCCCGTGGGAACCCTGTGGCTGCAGGGCTGTGGCCGCCAGGGTCAGCCTCCCTCTGTGCGGGCCTCTGGTTCTCCCTGCACTAATAATTCTCAGACGGTTCGGCCTCGGGACCCCTCTAACTCTTAAGAACCAGTGAGGACCCCAAACCGCTCTCGCTGGTTCTGCTTCATCGCCTCCTGTGGTGGAAATGACAACTGAGAACGGTTTCTGTGCTCACAGATGTGTAACCAACCCACTACATGCTCACGCAGAGGACCTAAGTTCTCCAACAACCACTGTTTCCTACACAAGGGAGCGGCCCCAGCTGGTGCGGCTCAGTGGACTGAGCACCGGCCTGTGAACCAAAGGGTCACCGGTTTGAGTCCCAGTCAGGGCACGTGCCTGGGTTGCAGACCAGGTCCCCAGGAGGGGGCGCGTGAGAGGCAACCACGCACTGATGTCTCTCTCTCTCCTTCCCCCTCTAAAATTACAATAAAATAAACAAAACCTTTGAGAAAGGAAGTGCCCGCCCAGGAAGGGCAGTGTGCGAGTCACTAGTTCCAGCTTTGGCACCACCTGCGGCCCATGGCTGCCAGGCCGGGGGGGCCGGCCGTTCCGCGGGGGCATGCAGGTGAGAGGTGGCTCGGAGCCAGGCTCCCCCTCGGAGCTGGTGGCTGCTCCTGTTTCCATCACCGGCTGTCAGCCCAACGGATCTGACTCAGGTTCCTAACCCCGGGGTGGGGTGGGGGGCGTGCATGGGGGGACAGTGGCCTCTCTTTTCTCTGACTGAGACCCCCCTCGCTTGGACACACGGGGCGCCTGGACCCAAACCTCCTGCTGCAGAGCAAGTGTCTGAGATCAAAGATCCTGGAACGTGGAGAAGACGCAACCTCCTTGGGGAAACTGAGGCTCAGAGACCCTGCCGCCAACCAGGCAGTGCTGGGCGTGGGGGGGGGGACCGAGTGCGCAGTCACTGTTCAGTAAAGTCACCCGCTGACAAGCCTGATGGGGGCTCCGCCTGGCCAGCCGGAAATCGGTCCCTGCCCGTCTCCAGGGGTGGTTCCCAGGGGCACACCTGGGCACCGCGTCCCCCAGTGCTCTGCCCCACCTGGGGGCCTGGGCCGGTCGGAGTGCCCTGGCCTCCCGCCAGCAGAGTCCAGGGTGCGAGTTCCAGGACAGCGGGGGGCCTGTGGACAGGAGGAGGGGCCGCAGAGGACCGCTAGAGCTCGCCCCCCACCCCGGGGGGACCCGAGGGGCCTGTCGGCACACCCTGTCAACAGGGTGCGACATTGGCAGGGCCCCCCGTTCCCACCCGGGGGGCGCTGTGCCGTCCGAACGCAGATGCCGGGCTGCCGGGGGGAACACGACGCCAAGCGAGGTCCTTCCACGCATGGGACCCTCTGGGGGGAGGAAGAATCCACCCGGCCCCCCACAGGAACAGGGGCCCGCCCCGTGGTGGGCGGCTGGCTGGCAGGGGAGCAGGGCTGAGGGTGGGCCCCAGAGAACCTCACGTGACGCCCCCCAGGGGTCCCACTCGGAGCCTGGATCTCCATGGGGGGGTCTCCCTGAGAGGCAGCCCACCCGGGGATGCGGGGCGGGCGGCCCGAGCCCCCTCCCCGCGCTGCCCGTGACTCGGTGCCCCCGGCACCGCCCTCCAGGGCAGCAGCCCGGCCAGCCTCGCCCCACACACCCCTTCCAGCGTGCGCCCGCTCTCAGCAACAAGGGCCCATTCAGCCCGGCCCGCCCGCACGGAGGGCAGGGCAGGGGGCTCGGGCAGCGTGTCCTGCAGTGTGAGTCACACCCCCCAAAGGGCAAGGAGAGGCCGTTCCCGGAGGGGCCACCATGCGGGTGCCGGCGCGCGTGAAGAGGCAGCCAGCCCCATGCACACAGAAGGGCCTGCAAAGCCGACCCCACGATGGCAGGTCGGCGGGGGTCGGGGGGGGCAGCCTGTCTGGGGCCTGGAAGGGAGGGTGTGGGCTGCACCCACCACCCGGACACCACAGAGCCTCCCGCCACTGCCCGGGGCCGACCCCACGGCACTGACCGCACCCGGGCCTCTGCCAGGGCGTCCTGCCGGACCTGGCCTGTCTGCCCATCAAGCCCCACATGGCCGGCACCTCCTCTGAAGCCAGACCACCCCTGAGGGCAACCCGAGACCCTCTGTCCACCACATAGACCCGACGCCTGGACGGGGGCTCTTGGCCTCCCTGCTCACCGGTGACCCAGGGAACTTCCGCTGAGCCCGCCCTCCCCGTGTGCCCCTGGGGTGCACGGCCCGGAGCGAGGGCGACTGAGCCGCAGTGACACCAGGAAACCGGTCTGTCCTCCTGCCCGACACCTCCGGTGGCCGGGACGTCAGCTTCCCGGTCAGGACTCTGGGGCGCCCGGAGCTCCCTCCACACGCTCTCTTCCGGCCAGGACAGCGCGTTTCAGGGCCCACGCTGGGCGCCCACGGCGGCAGGACACGGGCCCACACGCTCGGGGGTGGTCAGGGAGTGCCCGGAGCGGGCGTGGGCGTCAGGCCGCACGTCCTGGGGCTGGCGCTGCCCCGACCTCGACCTGCTCACCCACGTGGGACCTGGGGCCGCAGCGGGCTGCCCGGGCGGTGACCGGCGACGGCTGCACAGTCACTGCAGAAAAGCACACGTCATGTGGACTCCCCGGCACGTGGCCTGTTGAACACGAATGTGGCAAGAGCTGCCGCTCCTCCCGTCCCACCTGTTCTGCTTGGCCATGTGCCCCGCTGGGCGGCAGGCCGTCCCGGGCGCACGTCTGTGCGTCTGCCCCCTCTTCCCGGCGCCGCGCCCCGGGGCTGCGCAGTGGCACCCAGGCCTCGGCCTCGCGGGTGCTGCCGGGGCCCTCCCCCCAGTGCCTGCACCACCGCGAGCAAGCGAGTCAGGTCGGCCCGCGGGAAGGCTGCCCCCACCCCGACCGGGTGCTGCTGCTGCTAAAGGGTAAACCGAGGCACGCCCGAGCTCTCTGGAGGGAACCGGGCGGGACTGAGCCGGCGGCGGCCTCTCACGGGCGAGGAGAAGTGAGTGGAGACAGGACTGGGTCGGCCGGGGTGTCGGTTGTCCACGGGCCCATGTGCTCGGGTTCCAGAGCCGGCTCCGGCTGGGGCTCCGGGGCCTCAGGGCCACCCGGCGAGTGGCCAGGCTGAGTGGGCGCCGCGCTGTCCTGACGGCCGAAGCGCGACCTCGAGGAAGGACCCGGGAGAGAACGCGGCGACGCCGGCTCCCCAAGCTCCCTCGCCCGCGCCCGCGGGAGGACGGGCGGTTCCTCCACGGTGCCTGACCCACCAGAACTCCCGGCCTCACGCTCGGCTCTCCAAGGGCCCTGCCTGCTGGGGTCAGCCGAGGCCCGCGAGGTGGCGGGGGACGCCAGTGGCCGCAGGGAAGCTCCCCCGGCTCCAGCAGGTCGTCCTCCTGCCAGGAGGCCGGCCCCACACCGTCGGGGCCAGGGCTGCGCAGACAAAGGGACCCGCCGGGCCGGCAGCCTTGGCCTTGGCCCGGTCCCCGACGCCCGCGGACATGGCTCTGGCCTGCGCTGGGGCCTCGGAGGGAGGCCGGCGCCCGCGGCCGCAGACTGGGCAGCCCTGCCGGTCCCGTGGCCATCGGGAAGAAAGGCTTGGGGCGAGGGCAGCAGAGGGCCGCAGAGCTGAATGGGGCCGCTGGCTCGGGTGGAGGGGGGGCAGGGGGGTGCCAGGCAGGAGAGCTGGAGCCGCTGGTGGGTGGGGGTGGGGCTGGGGCTGGGAGACAGAGCCCCAGGGCCAGCCAGGCGGAGTGCTGGGGTGCCAGCAAGGGGCACCGGGGCGGGGCCGCGGGGCGCGGGCTGCGGAGGAGAGCCCTGGGCGGTGCGGCCAGGCAGCTGGGGCGGGTCCCGGCCGGGAGGCGGCCGGAGCAGTTTCGGGGCCCAGACCTTCACAGACATGCTGCCTGGCACGGCAGGGCCTGAGCTCGGAGCCCCGCTCCGAGGTTTCCCGCACAGCGACCTCCGGTGAGTCGCTCCGCCACAGAGCGGCCGGCAGGTTGTCCCCAGCCACTGGCCAGAGGTGTCCTCTTCGTGACAGCAACGCCTACTTGCTGGGGCTGAGAGAATTAAAGGTGACAAATCTCATGAAACGTCCAGGGTCTCACTCAGCACACGTCACTGCTGCTGCTACTCTCGCCCTGCCCGGGCCTGCTGCCCTCCCCGGGTCCCCGCCGGCCCCTCCGTGCCCCCCAGGCGCCCACGGCTCGCTGCCTCTGCCAGGGACTGTGGCTTCCCCTGGGGCGCGGGACGGGACAAAGGGGTGAATGTGGACCCACCGAGTCAGGCAGAAGCCAGCAGGGCTGCCGCCCGGGCGGGTCGCAGGAGGGTGAGGGGCGCTGTGCGAGCACCCCCGCCCCCGCCCCCGCCCCCTCCTGGCCGCCTGAGCCGAGGGCCCTGTTTGCACAGCCGGGTTCGCCTCCCGCCCCGTCAAACAGAAGACAGGTTTTCACCGCCAGCCGCAGCCGTGGAAGGGATCTCACAAAGGGGTGACTGACAGGCGGGGACAGCCAAGTCGGGGCGTCCGGGCTGTCAAAGCGGCCGGGTGGGCGGGCAGGAGCGGGCACGTCCCCCGGAGGCCCCATTCCCGGCTTGTCTCTCGGGGCTCGGGGCCCCGGCTCGACTCCGTGAACGCTGCCCGAACCCCAGGCGTCCGGGGGCGGAAACCAGGGCGGGAGCTGTGCTTCCAGCCCCTGGAGGGCCTTCCCCGGGGGGCCCCTCGCTGTCCTCGCCCCGGGCCCCGGCCACACCGTGGGCTCGGCGGTTGAGGTCCGTACACGGCGTGCCCCTTCGTCGTGCCGGCTCGCGCGTGGGGGCGGCGGGCGCCGCCTCCGGGTCAGACACGCCCGCGGCTTCGTCATCCCGGCACCTCCAGCCGACCTTCTCGGAAGCTCCGCCGCCTCGCCCGTGGGCGGGTGACCCTGCCGCAGGGCTCCGGGGAATCGAGAGCGAGCTCAGTCACAGGAGCCAAAGGCACGGCCGAGCCGGCCGGCCCAGCGCGGCCCAGCGCCGCGTGGAACGGGGCGGCGGCTCCTGGAGCGCGGCGCAGCCCGCAGGCCCCCCAGGCCCGCCCGGCCCCTGCGCACACTCCTGGGCCTGGGATCGGAGGGGAGTCGGGAGGGGTGACTCGCTGGGTGGCCCGGCCGAGTGCTGGGAACAGTGAGGTGGCTCAGTTTCCCCTCCTACAAAGCGGACCGAGTCACCTCCTGAGGCCGTGGGAGGCTAATGAGTCAGTGTTGGCGAAACACGTTCCAGCTCAGATGAAAGAGCATCCGGAGGGGCCGGCTGCCCGTGGGGGCTGGATGCGGTGGGCGCACACATGCACACGCATGCACATGCATGCACACACGTGCACACCCCCCCCACGTGCACGCCCCAGGCTCCCCGCACCACACCCACACCCAGATCGCACGTGGGCGCC